GTTATAAGTCTGTGTAGAAATTTTATTATAAGCAGATACCTAATGTTGATGTTGATTCTGAAAATATTTAGTTCCTGTTCCTTTAGTTGATTATTTTATTTTTGTTTTGTTAATTAAAAGATTGTGATTATAAGTGATAAATTAATAGGAAGAACGCTTCTGTATCTTTAAATTAAAGCTTGTTTTTTCTTCGGTTAAATTCCTTATTTACTATTTATTTAATTAAAATACTGCATGATTAATGATTATTAATAATTATTATTGGAAGAAAGCTACGATTCAAAAACATTGAAATAAACATAAGTATATTAAAAGTGTTTAATAAAAAAACAAGTTAAAGGTTTTTAAGAAGAAACACAAAGTTTAATTTAGTTTTGTTAGTAGAAGTAGCAACATAAGTAATTAATAAAAATACTGAATAAATAATAAATGTTAATGATGATTGTTAAGTATAATGGCATGTTTATATTTCGCATTGCAATACCAAAATTATGACTTTTTTAAGTTTTAGAAATTTCTCGAGAATTCGAGAATTCCCGGGAATTCCTAGTCGAGAATTCTCGAGACCCGAGAAAAAAAGTAGGCCTAGAAATCAGAAACCCTAGTTTAGTATTATACAAAAATTATGTCACTTGCCAGATATGCTTGGGGCAGCCACACCTTTCAAAACCTTTGAAAGTGTGGGTTTCTTCTCCTGTGCAGGCGGCACGGAAGCAGGGGCAGGTTGTGGTTGTAATGGAGGTTGTCCTGCGGTACTGGGCTCAAGGATAACTCCAGAATGTGGAGTGATATGATTCAGCAAAGTTTGTTGCTTTTCGGTTGGTAAACTTGCCCGAATTTGATAACTTCCTGATCTGAAACAATGACACCTATACATTACTTGCAAATTGCAATTTTTTACATTCCATCGAAATGAAGTAGAAAGTTCTAACTATTAAATTTTTTGGGTAGGAATTAAAAAAATTGTTTTTACTTTGTACTAATCAATAGTGAGCGCCAGTTACACTTTATTGATATATAAAATATGTTCTAAAGATTTGTTTAATTTTTTAGTGAAAACGCTATTAGGTAAGGCAGGTAAGTGAGGGAGTGAGTAAAGCTTCATTCTTATAGGATTAGTGGGGTTGCATTGGTACTGTAGAAAAGCCTTAACATGCATTGCACTAGGGACGTTTAAATAAACTTCACAGTAATGCCGTTGTACTGCAGTTGATACGGCAGAAGCTAGAAGCGTTTTAGCTTTTAATACTCCGTTACTACCAGTATCTACGCACACACACACATACGCGTGAAGAAATGGAGTCTGTTATGGTATACGGATGGTTCCAAAACAGTAGCGTAGGAGCTGGATTAGTTGGGCTAAGACCCAGGTAGAAAGTAAGCTGCAATCTGGATATTTCAAGTACAAATTTTTATATTACACAGGCTGTGTTGCAAATCCTGGGTGAGTGCGCCTTTTTTAAATTCTAAAAAAATAATGGAAATGTCGGCTAAACGACTTTAAATGCTGCACGAGCTTTAAAAAGACATCCAAATATTTAGTATATCGTTTATTTCAGTAATTGATAATGAGATAGCAGTTATTATTTACACTCCTTACACTTTTAAACCAATCCATTTGTTTTATGATAGGTAGGCACTTAGGTACTCAAAATGCTTCCGATGACGTAAATAGTACTTCAGAATTAATGTTCATTGTTAAGATAAGAGAGCTTTATAAACAAACACTTAAATTAATAAATATACATTATCAGCTGTGTAATATATAATACATTGAATGCACACCGGTAGATAATTGATAAAATGATTAAATATTTTTATAAGCGTACGGACACAAATATTTACTTAAATATTTTTTCTATGCAGCAATTCAACCAGAACATAATTTCAGGATAAAAAATATATTTGTTGTATTTTGATGCTTGGTCGTCACATATCTCTTACTAAGTAAATATTTACAATACATTCCAAATTTCAAATCTGTCCGAGTGTCAGTAGTTGTGCACTTCAGTTATTGAAACGAAACCCCTAAAAATCATCTCAAAATAAAGGTTTTCATAATGAACTTCATTCAATACATTTAGGACGATATTTCAACATGCATTTTGAAGTAGACTTTAAGAGATTTTAAATCTCTTATTGTAAGGATAATTTGATAACAAGTAGGAAAATTTTACATAAAAATTGGTGTACTTGAATGAAATGATTAAAATTAAATTCCCCATAAAATAAAGTAATAATTTTTTAAATTCGTCAACGGGTTAAACAATTCTGTCACATTTTAATGGTGCATCATCCCTTATCAATCCTTTAAAATGCTTCAATTGAACTCTACTTACTGTCGATCAATGCTCTTGGTGCACTCACACCGTGTACCAAATTTGGCATTTCTAGGTTCAAGTACACCATTTCATTATATTTCGGTGCCTATTTTAATATCAAAAGGAAACTTGTTTTTCCTGTTCAAATAGCGAGTGTCGCTAACAAAACAATATAAATTATTTTGCATTTAATTCATGTGACTATTAACTTGATAAATATTAATTAGTGAATTTTGAAATAAATTATTAAAATTACATAAACTTTGCATCAATAAACATTTATTTACCTACTTATACATACATATGTATTTTGATTTATATAAAAAATATTCAGAACTTATTTCCACGATAAATTCAGTTATAAATTCTATATGGTTAATATAACACGGATTATTAAATTTTTGTTTATTAATTTTTTTTTAACAGATATGAGATTTGAAATATAGTGAAACAACAGAAAATATCTTAGGCTTAATTTCAGGAAAAGCTTTTGTGATTTGTGTAACCCTATTATAAAGTAACTATTAGAGAATAATTTACGATATCAATATTTTTTAAATATTTTTTATTTGACATACAGGCTGTTACAAATTCGCTTCTCAATACAGGGATCTCGGAATCGGTATGAGATAGAATGTAGATTAAATGGGGACAAAGTTGCGTAATCAGGGGACCAACATTATGCCCCTAAAAAATCAAGGCTATCATGATTAGTTGTCGAAATATTTGACAAAAAACCGAAATTTTGGAAATCCGTTTTTGTTTCATTTCAACGTTGTTTGAGGTGATACTGAAAAAAGACGAACACTTTCTCATGGCAACTTTCTGTCCTTTCTCGCATGGCATAATTAATTTTTATATGTAACGTTTCGTCTCTCCAGGACCATCATCAACTTATTTTTTTTAATACGACCCTGGAAATTTTATTTAGTGTATTTCCTCAGCCCGAATTAGATGCAAACCTTTTGTCTCGAAAAATACATCTTCAATGTATTCGTTCCAAATTTATATATTTTTTTTTAGATTTCTACGTTTATTGAATTATCGTATACTCTAAGTGTTGTTAGACTCTGTGAAATCCACCTAGTTATTTAAACTACCATTACACGTTACAATAAAACATTTTTAAAGTTTTAATCCTATGCTCATAGTTATTTCTAGGTTTCTCAAACAAATTTCGATCTAATTTTTTTCACGATATTCATACAAATACATCTGATATGCTCTTTCACAGTTGCGGTTACAGGTATAATAATTCCGATCATAATATGCTTATCTTCATTTTCAACATTTGCCAAAACCGAAACGTTTTTGAACATTTACCTACTGTAATTTTTTAAAGTATAATATTCATTTGGAGGTTGTTCATATGCATTTTTAAGAATTAATTTGTTATAATGAAATTAAAATTGCAATTATGTTTTATTTTGACGCAACAAGAAAATGAAGTTGATGATGGTCCTGGAGAGACGAAACATAAAAATTGATTATGCCATTCGATAGAGGGCAAAAAGTTGTCATGAGAAAGTGTTTTCCTTTTTTCAATATCACCTCAAACAACGCTGAAATGAAACAGAAACGGATTTCCAAAATTTTGTTTTTTTTTCAAATATTTGGAAAACTAATTATGTTAGCCTTGATTTTTTAGAGGCCTGATTATGCAACTTTGCCTCCATTTAAACTACTTCGTATATCTTACCGTTTCCGACATCCCTGCAGTGAGAAGCGAATTTGTAATAGCCTGTGTATATAACCAGACATAAATAAGTGTTACGGATTACATGTATAAGTACAAGCACAATCAGAATATTTCAAAATTATAATGAATAAATTGAATCTGCCCATAATTCAGAGTGTCCCTTTTCCAACACAAAATTTTAATTTTTAGTTCAGCTCTTCTCTCACTTTAATCCTGTCGCATCTGGCCTGGATAGGTACTAAAAAATAGGTCACAGGATTTTACTACAATAAGCGATTCTGGAAATCGTGCGTCAGTAATGCCTATAATCAATCTGTATAATGCAGTCAAGTATAGTAATATTTTTTTAATATTTGCTTTGTTTATTTGGGTACCTACTTTGTCACCTGTGAAAAATTAAAAAACTTAAATTAAACTTAAACTTAAATAAAATCAATCAAATGGAAAGTCCATGGATAAGATTTAACTTATAAAAGTCAAGAGTTTACTAAATTAATTTTGCTAACTAGTGGTGGATATATTGGCAACTTGACAATTTCCAAGCCACTTAATATATTGGAAATTAGATACGGTGATTTAAATACTGATTGCATTTCTAAATAAAAAAAAATATTTTACACGAGTTAAAAAATCCAAACCTATAAAAATATGTTTCGGAATTTTGTTTACATCGGTTTCTAGTTTGCTTTCAATTGACATACACAGGCCCACGAAAATAAGTTGTCTGCGCAGTAAAGCATGCCATGTTATTCTTACATATTTTCAGCCTAACCTTTGCTTTGACCCTATAAGTCAGGATTTTTAGTAAATCACTAATTTTAATGTATATCTTGAAAAGTTCTCAATAGTGGATTCTATCTAGGTATTTCATGGGCCTTTCATACAAACTGTATTGAAACTTCTTAACCTCAACTCCCACAATAATATAACCCTGTAACATAATGCCTTAAGCCTGAGAATACAAGAAGGCTCGTATCTAATGACCATCTTGATGGATTCTAAAACCTTTGAATGCAGCTCAGTAACCCTTTTATTCTTTATTAAAAATCACCATGAGCCTAACAATTCCAAAACCCTATCAATCTGGGAACTGAGTGAAGAGAATCCAGAGTTTTAAAAGAATCGTCGGACAGGCAAATACTTATTTTAACATATATCTCCCACTCTTTACACGTGAAAATAGTCAGTATTTATAAAAAGTTACGCTCGGAGTGGGATGACAACGATGACATGCCTACTTCTATTGAAGCTAGAACGGCTCGTGTCATCTCAGCCATCATGTTTTATGTGATTGGAAATAGTAGTGAATGGTCATTGTTACAAAACGATAAAAAATATATTTATTGGAAACCTACAATCAAATTTTATCGAAATTTTTATTTCTGTAACATAACAAAAAATCTCACAAGTCACTGAATGAGAGATGAGAATGGATTTGTTCATATATACTGTAAAAGAAATTGAGTGAAATTTCACTGACATATTCAATAATGCATCAATTTCACTCTTAATATAAGTACAAATTTTATGAAATTTATCGACGAATTATACTCAAATTTGACTTTCCGTTAATCCCTAGCGAGTGACTTTTTATTTTATTGTGAGCATATAAGAAAAATTACCAGTTAACAGACACTTTTTCGTTATTGGAGCCAATAAAATAGTTCACATATTTCAATTTCTTAAAACTTATACCGTGCGCTAGAAAGCCACCCGGTATTCGAGTGTAATTAATCAGTTTAGGTGCAGGTCATAAACAAATGAAATTATCAAAATGTTCAGTACTAACAAGGAAGATTATCAAAGCGTCAATCACTGATTTCAATGAAACTTC